AAAAATAAAAAAAAGCTGACGTGTCTAATAAAGATTGGATCTTTCATTGTGCTAAAAAATGTGTGGTTTTTTTTTTAATCTTACTATAGTAGCACAATGGACCTGAAAAGAAATTACGTATTCCTTTGTTTGATAACTATTATTCAGTATATTTTTAATGGTTATATCATAGTTAATGATTTAATACAATTTCACCAGCTTTGTCACTAGATGGCAGCAGTAACTAGTAACTCACAGAAAAGATTGAACATTTAAATTTATCTTTATTTATTTATTTTTTGTTTAAATTGCAAAGTCTGTATTTGTGAGATTTTACTAGGAAAAATTTTCCGTCAAGTTTGATAGTAAAACTTAAAAATATCAAATAACACACTAAAAGTATGAAAATCCATGTGTGGAATAGTGGCACCCACTTACCCATGCCTATATGAACCAAACCTGCGACGATGATAAGAACGAGTGCGATTATTTTGGCAAAAGTGAATACATCTTGAACTCTGGCAGCCCACTTGACGTTGTAACAGTTAACGAACAGCAGCAAACCTAAATTAAAACAAAAAAATATATGCCAAGTTTCACACAGTTACTTATTTAAACTAGCAGCATGAGCTAACAACAACAAACTTTTTTTTTTTTTGTTAAGTCTTGCTGTGCCATTATAAAATATGACGTCAGTAAAACGTTTAGTATTTCGATGTAAATACCATGCTTGTTATTTTCAATCTCAAAAATTGTGTTCTAATTTAAAATATAAGTACAATACACTCAATCTAAAATCAAAATTAATAATATAGAAATTATACAATCTTATAGAGAAAGAAGGATCCACAAATTTACCCGAGTGTGGATCATAAATAAATATATTATTAAACGATAAATTAATTAATTAATATTTCCTTCATTAAATGCAACGAACAGAGACCACTAGTCCAATCCGTGTTCTGGGTAAAAAAATAAAACAGTACTGAAATTAAAAATAATAATTTTTAACCGTACATTGAGGCGTTTTATAAAGCCAGTCTTACACAATTTCGAGGCTTGTATACAAAATAATCATACAGTAAAGCCGATTTTTGTTTTCAACTTTTTAAGGCTTAGTATTCGTACGTATTAAAGTTATATCATTTCAACACTTGTGTGTGTGTGTGTGTACATGTATGCTCTCTACAGATGTTTATTGTGAGAAAAGATCGTAGGTAATTAGGAAACGGAAAACAATCAGGCTAGAGAGGGCCTATCTGTTTTGTCGAAGTTTCATGCAAGCTCTGATAATGGATCCAGGAATCCGACCTGAAGAACTGTGCAGTAGAAAGTTCGCTTAGCATGCTGGACTCTGGTGCTTTAATTGTGAAAATTAATTTATTTTATTTTTTATAGAAATTAATTAATGCATTTAACTTTTAAGAGTAGGTAGCCTCGTTGGAGTTGAGAAATTAAATTTGATTCTAAAAAAAACGCTATACATTTTCCATGTGATCACACTGCCGCCATCTATCAATAGGTTTAATAATTAGAATTCCCTCTTTTTTTTTAAGTTATCAAAGGACACAAAGTTACCCGCTTTTTCTGTAAAGTGAACTTTCGCTGACCTTGCATACATTTCTTTAAAAGTTCGTTGTGCATACACTAGTGGTTTGTTTGTTTTTAAGCACAAAGCTACACAATGGGCTATCTTTGTTAGGCCTACAGCTGTTATTGAAATCTGATTATTAGCTCTATAAGCCCTTGGGCTGAGCCATCGAGGGGTTACATCAGTGATCAGTCAGGACAAGCGAAAATTAATTAAGATATATTCTTCAAAATATCCCACCAGAGGGCAACTAGTCATATGCAGTGCTACAAATTTAGTCATTTCCCAACTAAATTAGTTGCTTAAACCTCACGGTATTACCCCCCCCCCTTAATAACCCTTCTATAATATCAATCCCTGGTTGAAACTTTGGAATAATGAAAGTCCAGCCCTCATATGTTAAATTACAAAACAAAGTTAGCGTTCTATAAACAGATGTATTTAATAAGTTGTTCTGTAATAATTAAAAGTTAATATTTTAATTTCATATACAAAATGGAAGAGAAATTCATGTCGTTGGAAAATGTATAACCATAACGTATGACGCACGCCCTCTATAGTAAAAAATACATTTATATACTTAAATTTGATAACGAGGAACCCACTCCTTAGATAATAAAAGTTTGGAGACGGCTTGAAAGGGTAATGAAAAAACTTTATTATACAAGATTATGTCATCATCAGTTATAAGCAGTTTACATAGACACAGGGATATGTATACAGTATGGAAGAAAGAGGTCACATGACCGGAGATTGCTTAACAGCTAGGTAAAGGTATAAAATTTACAGTGTTTTGTATAGCTATACTCTGGTTCTATGAGTCAGAACAACACAACGTTTATCCCTGAAATCAATTCAAAAATTACCAACGCTTGGAGAAAACTTGCTATTAAATATAAAATTCCTGTTTACTTCAATTCCTCAAAACTCGGCCCTAAACTAAGATAATTACCAAATAAAAATTATATAGAATCACGCGATACCAACATACAATAACTGTCCAGAATTATACATCAGAGAAACCAGATTCACAGAATATAATAAAAACCACCTCCCATGTTTACCACCTTTGCAAACAGATTTTGTTTGTTTTTTCACTCGAACTGAAGACCTTACAATACGCAGCCCTACACGCTAATCACTAGGTATCGCCCTGCCCATTTCGAGCTAAAATATAATAGCGATAGTTAAAATACCAGTCATAAAAACTCTTTTGCAGTTATTGATCATAAAATTGCACAAGTTACATAAGACAAAAAGTTTCCTAATTACACCTATAGGGCGAGCCACTGGCTAACAAGCAAGGTATTGTTAATCATAAATAAAAGAAAAAATGTCTCATTTCTGTTACTGTTCCTTTATATGTGACATCTGTTTAAAAAATTATTGACTTGACCGTTCTGTTCTAAAATACAGTATTTTAATTACTGATTATTTATTTTAAAATACAGTGTTGATTATCGACTATTTATTTTAAAATACAGTGTCGATAATCAACACTGTATTTTAAAATAAATAGTCGATAATCAACTATTTATTTTAAAATACAGTGTTGATTATCGACTATTTATTTTAAAATACAGTATTAATTATTGACTATTTATTTTAAAATACAGTGTTGATTACTGACTATTTATTTTAAAATACAGTATTAATTATTGTCCATCTGATCTAAAATATCCTATTTATGTTTGGATAATTTATAGCTTATTAAAATGTTTGTCATCCTGTCTCTCTATAACAGAAAATACACATGTAGAAAATATAACACATGAGAAGCAGTGAGAGGGAGCAAGTGTCACTTTCCTCCCTGTTTACTCACCATGTCCTACTATTAAAATATACTGACAGGCTGGAATACTTAACAATTCTTAAATAAAAACCGTTGTGTGAAATCTGTGTTTAGGGCGCTGATGTTGGATTTTTGACTGAAAGGTGATTCTTTTTATAAGTTTTGGCTAGGGATTTATCTACAGAGGTATTACACTGACGTCAAATAGTCACGTGGTCTAGTTTACTACGTCATAGACGAACGTCACGTGCCTACGTCCGTCTTTGGTGAAAATTAATTTTTTCTTCAAATTTCGTGTTTTATAGTTCTATAAATCGTCTCAGTGAAGTGTATGAAGAAAGACATATCGAGAAACCGAATAACCGTAGAGTTCCGGCTGTTTTACTAAAGACAGTATTTTACTTCATTGACAACATGTAAAGGTTTATCGAATCCTGTACTGGTGCGGATTGCTGAAGAAGGATTCTAATTTATGAGTGAACGTATGACAAAAAGTCAATAATACTATATCCTGTGTCGACGAGGCCTTTCGTTCGACATCAGGGTTCATCAGAAATGTTTTATGTGCAATAGGGTAGCCTTGAATGAAACACGAAGTTTGTGATGTCACGTGCAATACTTTTATAGCGAAAGCGCTACCCCCCCTTTTCTGGTAGTAAATACTGGCCGTTATTCTATTTACAAAAGCCCCCCCCCCTTCTCTTTAGATACACATATTCTCATACCTCTATCTCTGATGTAAACTGAAACTGCAATGTTTTATTGATTAGTTGTTGTTTTTTGTTAGTCCTGTAACTTCGGATAGAAAAACAGTGCACATGCGTCAAAGTTTCAAAAGTGCTAATTGAAAGCATAGACCTTCAAAAAATAAAACAAACAAAAAAACGGGTGTCGAAAACAACAAGCCTAAAATTTCTGGTAAAAATCGCGCAAACTAGGTGTTTCTTCCACATTCCTCTTATAATTTGTCCATTTTTGGATTAGAAAACCCAACTATCAATACCAGATGCGTGTGAAAACAGCATTTGAGATCTATCTTTAATTTCCCACAAGTCACTGCCAAAGAGGCTTTTCGCTTAATACCAGAACTCGTCAGTTGGGCTGGACGATGAGAGTTTGTTTATTTGTTTGAATTTCGCATAAAACTACACGAGGGCTATCTGCGCCAGCCGTCCCTAATTTAGCAGTGAAGGACTAGAGGGAAGGCAGCTAGTCATCACCACCCAACGCCAACTCTTGGGCTACTCTTTTACCAACGAATAGTGGGATAATTCGATGACGAGGAACCCACTTTGAGACTAATAATGCTTGGAGACGGCTTGAATGGGTAATGAAGATAAACTTTAATATAAGTTTAACAGCAAATAGTGGGATAGACCATAACATATAACGCCCCCATGGCTGAAAAGATGAGCATATTTGGTGGTACGGGAATGAGAGAAAAAAAAGTTTCTTTGAAACTCTTAAATATATATATATATATATGCAATGTAATATACACC